AACAAGTCTTTATCTTATTATCAGCCCAAGGCTCCTTCTTCTTAACAGGCCATGAATAGATCAGCTGATTCTCGTTCTAACCTTTTTGTTGGCATGTAAGCCAATGTTGGAACGGGTAGGAGGCAGGGTGAGTGATGTCTTGTTCCCTCCGATGGATCTATCCCCACTGGAAGAGGAAATATTACATGCTCCTTTTCATCTTCTTCCAGTGGGGACAGGCCTTTCCACTTTCTGGATCTCTGATAAGTTTGTTTTTTTCGATTTTACGGATGGGTTAAGAGCTTAATATTTTTAGGTAAGCCGTCTCTTTCTCCTGTTCCAGTCGATCTGTCTCAGGCAAAGGATTATCAAAAGACGAAGTGAATATTCTAGTTCAGAAGGTGTGTTGGAGATCAATCCTCCATTCCATCTAGGTTTTTATTTTAAGCTTTTCTTGGTTTATTAGAAGAATGGGAAAATGATACCGGTTCTAACCCTTTCTTTTCTGAATCAGTATCCGGTTCTCATTCATTCAGACTTAGACGATTCTCTAATCAAGATTCATTCCCGTTCTTCTCTGGTGGAACACACCGATTTGACTACCCATTTACCCCTGAGACTGTGTTTTTTATTTCATGGCAAAAATCAGAGATTATTCCCTGTCAAAATTTCATTTTCCTGAGATAACATTTTCGACACACAGATATGGGATTAGTTCTACCTCTAGAGGAGTAAGTCGTCAGGGCACATCAGTTGGTCAGTGCTCTGTTGCATGTTTCGACTGTCGGCAGTTTCTTCAACTGGTATGTTTCGTGATATCCATTCGTGGACTTCATTCCACTAGGTCGACTTAACATTCGTCCAATTCAGTGGTACCTATCGGAGTTTTGGCACACAGTTTCTCAGCTGGGTGAGGTACCTATTCCAATTCTTCTTCGGTTTTTACCTCATATGTAGTATTGGCTCTAGATGGACAAGGAAGTATCGTTGAAAACTCCAGACCCCATTCTATCTATGTTCAAAGACGCGAACTTGATGGGCTGGGGAGTTTATCCAGAAGGCAGAACAGCTTCAGGTCTTTCGTCAGGTGCTCAGCTGGAGGATCACATTAATCTCTAATGAGATGAGGGCTGTGTTATTTGCACAACTTCATTCTTAGGCTGTGATTCAAGATCAGTTACTGCTGGTTGCCACTGACAACTCAACAGTAGCGGATTACCTTCATAATCAAGGAGGAACTTATTTCTTTTCTCTTCATCTTCTTAGCAAGAAAATTATTATTCTGTGTCACAGTACTAGATATGATCTTTAGTCAATTCTATCAGTACATGTTCCAGGCAGTCAAACTCTTCTGGCTGATGCCCTATCCAATGCAATCGTTCCAGTGTATACCCGTAGGGAAACTTTATCCACCAGTGTTTCAGGAGATAACTCTACGATGGGATCGATTTCTTATAGAATTTTTTTGTCGCCAGTCTGAATCACAAATTGGAGACTTACGTTTCCCCAATTCCAGGTAAAAAAAGCTTGGGCAGTAGATGCTTTGACCATATCTCAGAAGGGAATGTTCAGTTACATGCGTCCCAAGGTCTTGCACAAAATTCAGAGGGATCGTTGTATTTCATGTATTCCAAATTTATGAAAAAACAAAAACAGAACAAGAATATAACCATAGGACACAATGTTCCGTTGACGCTTTATTACGATGTTCATTTTATCGTGAAATTGAGTTAAAACCCTTATTTGACGTATAAATCATTATGTGGCTACCACTGGATGTTAAACTACCATAACCAAGCAGACACAATAGGCAAGTGTGACAATAATTGGAATCCAGCTGCCAAAACTGTGTAAATATACATCACAGACATATAACACAACAGACTAATTCAACCAAACATACAAATACATCTTACAAGGTGTCAACAAAAAAGTTTTTAGTAAAGTACCAAAACTACAAAAAATAACCTGGCATGTGACGGGCAGACAAAAGCAAGGACGGACAGACACAGACAAAATAACATTATGCCTCCCGTCTTTCTTATGCGGGGCCAAAAAAACAATAATTAAGAATGAAATGTTCAGAAAATTTTACACTTATTCCAATCAGATGAATAAACATACACCACACTCAAACGTTTCTCTCTTTCAAACAAAATATTCAAGCGAATTTGGAACAAGAAAGGCTAAAATAATTAAGTTCAGTCAAAGGTTATATCAATTTAAATATTCCAACTACCATCCAAATATTTAGTTTTTGTCCATTTGGTTTTTTAAAATTTTATTTTATACTTCCAACTTTCCATCTTTAATTTCTGATTGAAGAAAGTTAACAGTTAATGATGCTGTCCTTGTATTGATATATTATTGTGTTTCTTGTGATAAGCTGCTGATAATACCATTATTACATAATGTGTTTGGTGGACTGTTGTTTGTCATTTGTTTGTCTTTTGGTCGTTTTTCTTTTCATTGAAGGCCATTGCATTATAAGTATATTTTCGATTATTGAGTTAGAATATCCCTTTAATATCATTACTTTCACAGCAATTAACTGTTAAATTGTAAATTTTAAGTTAATATATCAGTAACTTTGAGGATGTTTTAACTAATATAAGGTTTGTGGTATGCATTAATGAACTGTAAATAAATTTGGACAAGAGATAAACAATAAAGTTTCCTGTAAAGAATCGGTACTAGCATTAATCTTTATACAGATCACCTTATCTTATTAGAAGTATACACATACCACTTTAAAGAAAATAGAGCATTCAAAATAAAGTATATGCTTTGTATTCTATGAAAACCACAGGACAGGACAATATTTTTACTTCCCCCTTTTTTTCAAATCCGTAATTTTTTTGTTTTCTTTTAAATACGATTATGTTATAGTTGTACTATGCATAAATATACCAGAAACAAGATTTGTTTACTATTTACTATCAATTGATAGTTTACTATACACGGCAGTCACCGATAATATGAAACGGGCTTTTGTTACGGAAATACGAAGTCGTTGTAGGGTTTTAAATTTTATTATTTAGTTCAAAGCTAAATATAAATAACGTTACCCGAAATAAAAAAAAAACGTATATTAACTATTTATCGGAATTTGTTTTCATTTTCCATTTGATGTTGCTGCCTAATATTTCATGCGACTTCAGTCATTCAACCGAACAACTATCCCAACGTTTTGTACGCGTAAAAGTAGTTTTACTAACTATTTCATTTTAATTCATGTTCTCAACAACAAAAAAATACAGTTTTGACAAATTGCCGATAAACAGAATAATTGCATTTTATTTTTTGATCCTGAATTCATCAGCTCGAATATCAGCTCGCCCTAGCATGATCGCTTGATATTCTTGCTGATAAAGTCAGTATCAAAAACAAAAATGCCATTATTCTATATGTATCCACAAAACATATACAATGAAAAGACAATAGTACAAATCATTCATTACTTTTTAGAAATTATATTTGCAAGCTATTCATAGTCGACAATTCTTTAAATATAATATATTGAATGAAATGAATTAACTGAAATGGTTTCATCTTAACAAATGCATATAAATCATTTAAAAGACATAAAACAACAAAACAATCGTACCATAAGTGTGATAAGGCGACAATTTAGTAAACACCTGACCGTGTCATCATGGAGTGTGTTAAATATAGAAGGACTAAATAATTATAGGTCTTACTATGAAGTAATAACAATTCAAAGAGCTTCCTTTTATCATAAGGAACAATATGTTCCGAAGTGATGTTGAACAATTTAATAGCTAAGATACACAGCAAAAATTGCATACCCGTTTTTCATGCGTAAAACAGGCGTTTTACGTATGTTATAAAACGTACGTAAAACGCATATTGAGGACCACGCATGTAAAACGCCCGTTTGAAACGTATGAATTACGTATGTTAAACACACGTAATACGTGCGTGAACGTAAAACATGCGTTAAATGATTATGTAGAACGCCCGTTTTACGAGTAAACGCACGTTAAACGCCTGTTAATTTCTAGAAAATCATGTGTTTTACGTATGTTTTTTTTTTCCTCAACACCCGTTTTACGTATGTTTTTTTTTGTCCTCAACACCCGTTTTACGTATGTTTTTTTTTGTCTTCAGCACCCGTATTTACATATATTTTTTGGTCTTCAACACCTGTTTGACATAGTTTTTTTTCTTCTGCAGCACCCATAATATGCTTGGTTTTTTGTTGTTGTCTACACCAGTTTAATGAATGTTTTTTTTTGTATGGTGTTGTTAACATTTTACCTGTTTAACATGTTTTTTTGTTGTCCACAACACCCAAATACATTATGATTTTTTGGATTTTTTTTTTCTGGTTGGTAATGGATATACCTTAAATACATTATACTTGTCTTTTCTAATGAAAACACTAACAATTTGATTTTTTTTACTTATATATTCAAGTAAACATATATAAATTAATGATTATATCATTGTAGTATTTAGTTGGAAATCAAAATGACTACATTTAAATTTGATGGTGTTGTCTGTCCTTTTCAAACTTGATTGCCTCCCTTCTAGAACTGTTTTTGGCAAGGCATACATTAACTGTGTGCTATCTTACAATTAGAATGGAAGCACAATATTTTATGACATCCTATTCAAATGATCTATATTCAATTCATAAACCTAAATCCATGAAAAAACCCTCATGAGAAAGATTATCAATTACCATTTAGAATGGAATATTTACCTTAAAGATGTCTTGGTTTTTATGCTAGTCTTATTGACGTAAACGCAATATCTCCTCTTGTATATTTATGTTACACTCAGAATATAATCTACTGAAAAGAATAGATTATGCTTAAGCCAATTGAAGAAGAGAAGGTACATGTATTAGGATAAGACATCATCTTTTTCTGTTGGTCATTGGAAATTGTGTTCACCACAATTGTGATTTGGATGGATTGATCGTCGGTTGGTTGGTTCTATGTTAGAATTTGCAAAAAGACCTCAAAATATGATGGTCATATAAACCTTACAAATTTAGTTATTTCAATTCTATTTATTTAACAACTACATTTTTTTGGATGAGATATTTACAATCATACAAAATGTGTACCATAGTTCTTATTTCATTAGCATTATGTGTTCTTAATGTACTTGTGGTTGACATATATACACTCCAAGACTGAGTCCAAGTTGACTCTGCCTTGCTCTTGGACTCTTGTTCACAAAACTGTTTAACTGTTAGTATTATTTAAGACTGTTCTCCTGTTTACAATATTATAATTTTTGCACATGAATTCCTTCATTTATTTGCACTTCTCCTTGTAAGATTCCAATGGTCATGATGATATAATCCTGTTGTTCAATGTCTGTAATGTAAAAACAAAAGAAAATGTATTTTTTTAAATGGAATAACATTAACAAAGTATGAATATATATAGATGTTTGTCAAGATATGTCCTAAGCTTTTTAAAAACACAAGTGCAGACACTGAAGTATCTCAACTGCTTTACTTCTTATCTCAAAACTGAAAAGTCTGATATATATCAGTGAATCACTGTCACACAATACACCAAATATAGCCTATTATTGATATCATATCTGAGTAACAGACCATTGCTCATTCTTGAAGGCTGTAAGGTCTCGTGTGGAGAGTTGTCTCAGTGGCAATCATACCATATCTTTTAATTTAATTTTTATACAAGTTAGAAATCTGAACATTGACTTATCGTTATGAACCATAATAATGAGGTCCAGGTCAGATGAACACTGCAGACAACACCTACACCATGCAATCATTCCTAGCTACACATATAGTTGATATATTGATTATAGTATCTGAGAAACAGACATAACCATGAAAACTTACACTGACCAATGAAACATGAAAATAAGGTCAAGGTCAGATGACACCTGTCAAACAGACGGGTACACCTTACAATATTCCATACAATAAATATATTTGATCTATTGTTTATAGTAATACATATAGTATCTGAGAAATAGACCAAACCTCAAAAAATTAACATTGTCCTATGAACCATGATGAAAGTTCAAGGTCAGATGAAACCTACCAGACAGACATGTACATCCTACAAACATACCATACACCATATATACAGGTGATCTATTGCTTACAGTATCTGAGAAACCAACCAAACCACAAAAACTTAATATTGACAAATGAACCATAAATATGAGGTCACATCAAAAGTCTTGCAACTAAAAGAAACACGATAGCAGTCAGCACAAAGACAAACAACGAAAACTGTAGAGTTGATAAAAACTAGAGGCTCTAAAGAGCCTGTGTCTCGCTCATCTTGGTCTACGTGCATATCAAACAAAGGATACTCTACAACATTGTGGAGGAAAATAGACTTCATGACAAAAATCTTTATTTTGTTGATCTTGTATAAACTTATCTCTTAGTCTGTTTAGTTTCTCTCTATCTTCTTTACTTTTTGCTCAAAACACAATAGAGGGTAAAAAAATCCCCTTTTAAGGGCAATTACTTCTATGAAGAGTGACAGTCTACTAACTCTGTTGGCAAAATTTGACTTTTTAATAGATCTTACCTTGCTGATCACTTTTGTGATTTGAAGTGTTTAATTATCTTTTATAATTTAAATCATATAAGGCATAAAAAAAAAATTTTCTTTCTAAATGTCATAGTTTTCATGGTAATAGTCAATAAAATGCTCCACAGGGCGCAGCTTGATACGACCGCAGAGGTCGAACCCTGAACAGTTGGGGCAAGTATGGACACAACATTCAAGCTTGATACAGCTCTGAATTTGGATTGTGATTAAATATTTGACACAGCATAGGTTTCTGACACCGAATGAATGTGGTCTTAGAACTTAAAAATTTTAAATTGGACATTTACCTAGTATGGTCCAATATCCAAAATCTAAATACATGGTTAGATTCAGCATATCAAAGAACCCCATATATTCAATTTTTGTTGAAATCAAACAAAGTTTAATTTTGGACCCCGATTTGGACCAACTTGAAAACTGGGCCCATAATCAAAAATCTAAATACATGTTTAGATTCAGCATATCAAAGAACCCCAAGAATTCAATTTTGGTTAAAATAAAACCAAGTTTAATTTTGGACCCTTTGGACCTTAATGTAGACCAATTTGAAAACGGGACCAAAAATTAAGAATCTAAATACAAGGTTAGATTCGGCATATCAAAGAACCCCAATAATTCAATTTTTTATGAAATCAAACAAAGTTTAATTTTGGATCCTTTGGACCTCAATGTGGACCAATTTAAAAACGGGGCCCAAAATCCAAAAACTTAATATAGGTTAGATTCAGCATATCAAAGAACCCCATATATTCAATTTTTGTTGAAATCAAACAAAGTTTAATTTTGAACCCAGATTTGGACCAACTTGAAAACTGGGCCCAAAATCCAAAAATTTAATACACGGTTAGATTCAGAATATTAAAGAGCCCCAAGAATTCAAGAATAAAACCCCATTGAAATTGGTCAAGTAATAAGCAATTTATACAAAGTATTAGAAAAGTATTGTTTTTGGCCCCTAATTCCTAAACAGTTAGGGCCATATAACCCCCAAAATCAATCTCAACCTTCCTTTTTTGGTATGGAACCTTGTGGTACAATTTCAGAAAGATCCATACACTTACACACAAGTTATTGTCTGGAAACTAGAATAAAATGCTCCACTGGGCGCAGCTTGATACGACCGCAGAGGTCGAACCCTGAACAGTTGGGGCAAGTATGGACACAACATTCAAGCTTGATACAGCACTGAACTTGGATTGTGATTAAATATTTGACACAGCATAGGTTTCTGACACACAATGAATGTGGTCAATGAACTTAAAAAATTTTAATTTACCTATTCAAACCATATCATTATTATATGCTTTTATATATAAATCAGAAATAACCAATTTAAAATGGAAAATTTTAAAGAAAAAAAAAGGAAAAAAAAGGAACTCCCCAAATTTTTTGAACCCCCTTATGATTCATCACCCCCAAACTCAATCCCAGCCTTCCCTTTGTGGTATGGTACCTTGCAGTACAATTTCAGAGAGATCCATACACTTGAACACAAGTTATTGTCTGCAAACTAGAAAAATGCTTGTTTTTTGGCCCCTTTTTGGCCCTAAATTCCTAAACGTTTAAGGCAATTACCCCCAAACTCAAACCCAGCTTTCCCTTTGTGATATGGAACCTTGAAGTTCAATTTCAGAAAGATCCATACACTCACACACAAGTTATTGTCATGAAACTAGAAAAAATGCTGTTTTTTGCCCCTTTTTTGGCCCCTAATTCGTAAAATTTTGAGGCAATTACCCCCAAAATCAATCCCAGCATTCCCTTTGTGATATGGAACCTTGTGGTACAATGTCAGAGAGATCCATACACTAACACACAAGTTATGTCTGGAAGCTACAAAAATGCTTATTTTTGGCCCCTAATTCCTTAACTGTTGGTACCATAACCCCCAAAATCAATCCCAACCTTCCTTTTGTGGTATTGAACCTTATGGTAAAATTTCATAGAGATCCATTTACTTAAACTAAAGTTAGAGTGCGAAAACCAATGTGTCTTCGGACGACGACGATGCCAACGTCATACCAATATACGACCACAAAATTTTTTGGCGGTCGTATAAAAATGCTTATATGGACCCCTTTTTGGGCCCTTAATTCCTAAACTGTTGGGACCATAAACCCCAAAATCAATCCCAACCTTCCTTTTGTGGTTTCAAACCTTGTGTTTAAATTTCATAGATTTCTATTTACTTATACTAAAGTTATTGTTCGAAAACCAAATAGCTTCGGACGATGACGACGACGTGATAACATTATACGACTGAATAAAAATGAGAAAAAAATGGTTAAATTTGTCATTTATTGGCAATGATTCCTATAAGAATTTATCTAACAGTTTTGACGTATATGGACAATTGGTAGAGCTTATTATTCTGAACATTTTTGCTCCTTTCAAATTCTCTCTTATTTATTTAGTTTCAAAAATTAATAGACAAAACTTGCGTTTTACCCCTATGTTCTATTTTTAGCCATGTCAGCCATGTTGGTTGGTAGGTGGGTCATCAGACACATTTTGTAAACTAGATACCCTAATGATGATTGTGGCCAAGTTTGGTTAAATTGGTCTCAGTAGTTTCAGAGCAGAAGATTTATGTAAAAAATTACAAAAATTTCCTTAAAATTGTAAAAAATTGACTATAAAGGTCAATAACTCCTTAAGTGGTCCATTATTTGTAGATCTTACTTTACTGAACATTATTGCTGTTTACAGTTTATCTCTATCTATAATAATATTCAAGATAACCAAAATCTGCAAAATTTCCTTAAAATTACCAATTCAGGGGCAGCAACCCAACAATGGGTTGTCTGATTTGTCTCAAAATTTCAGGGCAGATAGATCTCGACCTGATGAACAATTTAAACCCCTGTCAGACTTGCTCTAAATGCTTTGGTTTCAAAGTTTCAGCCGCACTTCTGTACCCATTTTTAACCAAAAACCGAAGTAATCCCCCACCTTTTCAATGACATGTTGAATTGATGCGGTTCCCCGGAAAGAAAAGCTCTTGACGTGTAAAAATCTGTTGTTAAATTGCTGAGAGGGTATCACAAAGTGTTTCAGTAAGGTCAATATATACCGTATTTGATACGAAATAAAATATAATTTTGCTGGGCAGACATGCAAAATTGCAATGAGCATACGTGCAATGATGGAAATGATGACAGCACGTAAATTTCAGAGCCGAACGCTGTGAAGGACGGTCAATCCGAACTGGCTTTTTTGCGATTTTAATCCCCAAATACCCCCCAAAAGATCTTGAAATGAACACATAATAAACTACGCTCGTCATTACCCCTTTGTGGTATAAAACAATATCCGTGGATTTTATGTGAAAGAAGAAAACGCGACACCCAATTTCAACTCTATTCATTTAGTAATATAGATAATCCAAAATCTACATTTTACCCCTATGTTCTATTTTTAGCCATCGCGACTATCTTGGTTGGCGGGCCAGGTCATTAGACATATTTTTTCAACTAAATACCCAAATGATGATTGTGGCCAAGTTTGGTTAAATTTGGTCCAGTATAGTTTCAGAGTAGAAGATTTTGTAAAAGTTAACAGACGACGACGAACCAAGGTCAGATTAATTCTGCCGGACAGAAATGCACATCATCTGACACACCAAATACAGTTTAATTTAATATATATAGTAAATGAAAAATTTTGTAGACATGTTTGGAAATTGTCTTTGAATAACTCCATATTTCCTATGTGTCATTTATATTTACCTAAAACATCATTTTCTTTTCTTTACAGTTTGTTTAATACTAATACTATAATGCAGATCTGATCATACACCAACAAACATATTTGACAAACCTAAGAAAGAAAAAATAATAATAGTTTATACATTTAGGGAATGACTGTAATATTTTTTCTGTCTATGAAGAAATAACATCAAAAATGTGGTGCACACTGTATAACCCGCGTGGCGGATTATTTTAAAGTGTGCACCACATTTTTTTTGTTATTTAGAATAGACAGAAAAAATATTACAGTCATTTCTTATAATTTAATTCTTAATTCCATTTTAAACCGGAGTAAATCATGAAAAAACGTTGATGACATCAAGGTCACATGACAAAATTATGTCTATGAGCTGATAAACAAAACAATGTCAGCCAATCGGAAGACGTGTTACATCCAAAATTAAATTATTATTATATAAAAAAAGTTTAGAAATTTATATCCCTTAAATAGATGGTTCATGTTTAACTGTTACAGCCTTTAAATAGTATACATGTGGCTCACCTACATGAATCATTGTGCATCTGTTATTAAACATGTCGCCTCTTGTTTTTGGTGGGTTAATGTTATTCAGTCTATTATAATAAGTTTTCTAAATAGTGATGTGTGGACTTTTTGGTTGTTTCTTTTTTTTGCAAGACATCAGTTTCTCTTCCACTTAGGCCATTCAAAAAAGTATGTGTGTTTACTGCCACATGCTGAAAAAAATAGGGTAGGTAGGTAGCTATATATAGGGACTTTTTTTTATTTTTAATATATTTTTTACATTGAGTCTATGGGAGCAACATTGTGACTTTAACAGTGCTTAATCAAAAATGGTCAAAAAAACTTTAGGGTAGGGGATAAAAATTAGGGTAGGTAGGGGTACAGTAAACACACATACTTTTTTGTTTGGCCTTATGAGTTTTGAATGTCCCTTTTATTTCTTCTGTATCATCATGATCATTCATTTTAAGATCAACAACTCATATACAGTCTTCACGCTTAACCACAAGTCCTACGGCATTGGCTTGTAAAATTGCTTTCAGGCTTGTAAAATTCTTCTCTACAAGCCAACAGAATCCAACTAAAGTTTTCTAAAAATTGAGATTCTGGCTTGTGGACTCAAAAGCTAAGCGTGAAGTCTGCATATATGGAAGGAGTTGATAGACAATTTTTGCGCTGTTAAGTTATGGTATTGGTAGACTTTGCAATCAAATTTGGAGTTAAACAACAGTTTTTCAGTATATAAAAGTCTTACGACCAACTATAGCAAGTTTTCCCAAAATTGCTTAAATCATGATTTTATGGTAATTTTCATTTCAGCTATTTGACCTTATGGCCTATATGTTGATCTTGTCTTTTTGATCATTTTTGCTATTCATAGTTTCTCACTATCTATTCAAGTTTTAAGATAATGGGCAAAAACCAAATAAATTGTTAAAAATCACTTGATTTATCCTAATAAGAGTTGACCGACCCATTTCCACCATACATGTATGGAGGTATTTGTAGATAATTTTTTGTATTCAAAAGTTGCCCTCTATCTTTTGCCAAAAGGGTGGGGGGACATATTGGAACCCTCTTTTTTTATTGGACTTTTTCTGTAATTGTGTCCATAATACCCTAATCTATAAACCCAATCCAGACCCTCATAAGTGGTTAAAATTCTTATACAACTGCATGTACATTTTGTACCAAACCTTATTGACCTGTATGAGTAGTGGTTCCCATTGAGCCAACCTAATAACCATTGTTGACCTGCCAACACAAGGCCTTGGCAAGCAACAGCATGTCCAATTATTAATATTGTTTTTTCCCTTCTCTGATGCAAGGCAAAATGACATACATTTTTCAATCACCAAGAGGAAATGAGAATTTACATGACAAATTGACATGATTGATAGCTACTGCTTATGATTGTTTGCTACAATACTGTATCTAATACTTACCAATTTCAGTTGTTGGAAGAGTGATTGGCACTGAAAAATTACAAAAAGTTTAAAGTTAAATTTATTTTAATGCATATATATACATGTACAAATAATTAGCATAATCTGCAAATATTTTTACAAAATTTACTTTATTTTTAAAATAGATGGTGGCTTAGTTAAATTACTGCAATTTTTAATTTACCAGTCCCAACAATAATGTTTATGTTGTACATCAAATCTATCTCAGCATACTCAATCTAGTTAGTTCAATGGGTGAACATGTGTACTAAGTAACATGTTGATGTCACATGATAATGACATGATGCGTTGATGTGACCATCAGGTGGATAGTTGTCTCATTGGCATTCATATTGCATGGCATGCTGCATCTCCTTATTTTGATATTAGCATGGTATTTTTTTTTTAGGAGATTTATATCAATTTGACAATTCTAAAAAAGGTTTAAACTTCAAAATGTGGTGGCTTTTTGGCATTGCAGTTTTGTAGATTTACACAATGTACACATGAACAGGTCTTTCTGTTATTTTTTTGTCATTTTCATTGCTCCACGAGTCATCTTCCACATACAGATGAAGGATTCATTTTGTGATTATAAGCATCAGTTTCATAACATTTGTATGAGACATACTAAAGTTAAAGAACAGAAACTACAGATTCAGCCCTTTTTTAATAAAAGGGGCATAACTCATGAACGGTACAAGTGACACCACCCAATTTGTGGTAATAAGCATTGTGTTTAAGTTTCATAATATTTAGTAAAGACAAACTTAAGTTGGATTACGAAAACAAAAAAAATTAGATTTTTTTTTGTTTATAACGAGACACAACTCATGAACGGTAAAGGTGACGCCACCCAATTTTGATCTTCAGGGGCGGATCCAGGATTTTGGAAAAGGGGGGCGTAGTATTGAAGTTCGCGGAGCGAGGCGAAAATTTTTTTGGACCTTTTTTTGGCTAAAAAACATAAAATAAGTGTAAAATGCATTTTATTTTTAAAGTGTGGGGTTGGACATTTTTGGTGCCGTATTCTCTCCATCAATTATCTATTATGAAATGATTGGATGGATCCAAAGCTATGTACTAATTAATATATTTGATGTGGGATTTGTCAGTAAAGAATGGACATGGAAAATTCTCGTTTGTTGTATGGTTAGTTAGCATAACCTCACAGATTTCTTGTTGTAAACAAGATATTCGGCTATTCAATGAAATTTACAATACGACTGACAAGAAGAAAGACAAACAAGCAATTTTCATCCAATTTGGTTGAAATGTTTTACCCAACAAGGGAAGTGAGGGGTTCCAAATCAACCAAAAGCTACGAATTAGTCGGAAATGACAATGAAGTTGTGAATGATGGTCGACACATGGAGACATATAGGCCACACCCAGCAGGCAGGTTGCAGTCGGGCCTTGAAAAAAGTATTCAGTATATCAGTTCGGCGAAACAGACATTCTGGTCAGATATGGGATTCACATGTAACCCCCCCAAAAAAAAAAGTTACGCCCATTTTTTATTCATCATGTTCATGTAATGCTAAATAATTCTGTTGAAAAAAAAGCAAAAAAGTGGACAAGATTATTGTTTTCAATCCAGATACGGCCAGAATTTTTGTTTAAGGCAAAAAATCAGGGTCATAATTTTTTCTCTAAAATATCTCAGACTGCCCCCTCAGATCAAATGGTCCGTACCTTAGACTTTAAATCTATATCTAGAGCTTACTGGCTGGGGATCACTATTCAGCAATGTTATTAATGGGCTGGGGCGTGTGGGGTTAAACATGTTTTCGTAGGTAAATAATATTGCTGTGGAACTTTTTCATGAGTGTAATAGAGTTTTACTTTCTGTTAGGTGGAATTGTGAAATAGAAGTCAATACGTTCTTGCTCAATACTGTGTCGCTTTGAAGGCGTCATGCTTGTCATCCTCTAAGCAATGTGTTACTGTAATTTTCAAAATGACTGAGTGACGTTTTTTTCGACGAACAGATCAACTCCACCGTAGAGAATCACATGACTTTGACATAATCATTAATATATTACAGTAAATACGAGCGAAAAATGTCTTTATAAGTAATTAATTGTCGCATAAAAATTAAATACACGGGAAATGGCAAAGTTCACAAAGTCTAGTCTGATTAATCATTTTACAAAAAAAAAAGTGCAAGCAAAGGGGGGGCGTACGCCCTCTACGCCCCCCTCTGGATCCGCCACTGATCTTGATCTGTGTTTTGTGGTAATAAGCATAGTGAATAAGTTTTATAACATTTGGCTGAGGCAAACTAAAGTTAGGAAACGGAAACCAATTTTGGGGATGTACGGACGGACAGGACAGACAAGGGCAAAACTTAACACCCCCTTCGCTACAGTGATGGGCATACAAATAGTATTCTCCAGTTTCATGTGTCTGTCTGAAATCGGAAAAGTCAGTGTATCCCAAACTCTGTCTGGACGACAAAATGTTTTTAGTAGAAAAACGTAAAATTTCTGTTTCATTCAGACAAACCCCAAAATAGTTTGGCGAAGACTGCAGAAACCTCATCACTGTGTGCATTTTCTTACATTTCAATGTATTAATATTCTTCAAGGATTATGGTGGTTAAGGTAGTATGCAAGAAATATGTCTATTATTGAGATTTATTATCATTTAATTATATCAGGATAGATACTAGTAGGCCTAAGGCCAAATAAAATAATATGTGTGTTTCCTATTACAACATCTTTGAAAAAAATTGGGTAGGTAGGCAGGTAGGTAGGGATTTTTTTTTATTTTACAATTTTTTTTTTACATTGAGTCTACATGTATATGGGAGAGAAATTTTGATTTAACAGTGCTTATTGAAAAATACCCCAAAAAACTTTAAGGTAGGCTATTTCTTCGCTAAAAATATAGGGTAGGTAGGGAAATTAGGGGGGGGGGGGGGCTCCAGTCATGCTTCAGTTATTCCCTATATAATCAACAAAATTTTTCCCACAGAAGAGGGGGGGGGGCTCCAGTCATGCTTCAGTTATTCCCTATATAATCAACAAAATTTTTCCCACAGAAGAGGGGGGGGCCTGCCCCCCCCCCCCCCCCCGTGTATGATATCCATATATAGTCCAAGTTGTTACATAGCATATATTACCTTTCACCTTTGCTAGGAGCGCAGATTCCTTATGTATTTTTTACTTACGCCAAGTTACGACAGGACTTACGGCTTTGACAGGGCTTTTCAGTCCAAATAATTATGACGTCTTGAAAGGCTATTTTAATTTTTTTAATTACCCCCCTTTGAAGGTTGCTCCCTACTATTTTTCATATAAATATCTGATTCAGTTTATAAAACATTAATGCCATTTAAATATATATTTTTTTATTTTAAAATACAAGGAGGGCGAACGAACACATGGCGAAAACATCATGCCATAAGGACGAACGGACTTGACTCTTGTTGTTATGAATGTTTGTTTGTTTGTATATAAATATATGGAAACGCTGATTGACAACGTTTCAACATTGCATTCAACATACTTAATGAATGTAGTGTGTTTGTTTAAGTGATTTGAGTGATCTACCCATTTTTTTACCAAAATAAATTATCTGCCTCTTGTTGCGTTTGGTTGGCTGTTCTGTTCACAAGACAAGTCGTCCCCATTTTTGAAGTTGAAAAGCCACCTTCTTCTCATTAAACACTCCGCCTCAGCTTGGACTGCTTATTTTATGCCATTTCAAATGTTTGCATTCAAATGTCCGTGTATGTTTGTATAGCAGTTACAACATTTCTAATGAACAATCGGGCACAGCGTCCTTGGTGTCGTCTGCGTCATAACATCTAGATCTTTCCGGCGTTTAAAAATGAAAACCGAATCCGGACTAAATTTTCCTATTACGTAACTGGGATTCCCGCTGTTCAAAGCATTTTCATTATTTCTATATTCCGTTAACTTATTAATCAAGTCTTAATGTTTTTAGTATTGCAAATACTGCATTTTCAAGACAATACAGACTGGACTCGGAAATTGGCAATCTCGATAAAAAATAAACATTTGATAATAACGTTTATAGGTAAATTGCACCGTGCATCTTGACGTGTTTTTCCCCCTATTATTGGGTAAACGCAGATGTGCTAAAAATATCGGTCATAATTTTGCGAGATTTTATATAAAAATGACCTACATATCACATACATAAATGTGATATTTGGAATCTTACTGTATTCTTTTGTAAGTTCACATTTCAAATAAGTTCCAAAATGAAGGGGATCGGACCTTTATCGGGACTCCGGGATCGGGTGTTTTTAAGCTCGGGATTTCGGGATTGATCCTTTCGGGATCCGAGAATTCTTTTTTTCGAATTTCGGGATGTCGGGATTTAAATTTCTTTAAATTCGGGACCTCGGGATTTCATGTTTTTAAGCCCCCCTCAAAATGAACTCCAGAAATTTGAGGGTAGCTGTATATTTATGAATTATGAGTGATGATACAGATTAAGTGCAGTTATATTAACATATAAACATATTTTAAGTATTGTATATAAATATACAGGCAGAGACATATATACACCGGCGCATTACGTTTGCGCGAGAAAAAAAATCCACGTTTGCGCGATTAAACACATTACGTTTGCGCGAAATTTACCTGTTCAAAAGTCACTACGTTTGTGCGGATTAAATAAAAATATTTATGTCTCTGGTACAGGTCATTCTTTCTTTAATATTAACATAACTATAGGTACTGAAATTCAGTGAATATGTTATATTAAAATATGTACATTTTTTGGCAAAAATTGCAAACCCCCTTCCGTGTTTATTTTGTAGATGCATTCTTGTTAACTTTATATAATTCTGAATACATACACACCAAGACACATAACTTTAAATAAGCCCCCACGGTCCCAGATTCTGAAATGAGGACCCATGCATTCTTAGCAAAACAGTATGAGTGGGTTTCATGTATAAACATAACGATACGGCCATCATTATAGTTCTTCCATCGTTATGATTTTAAACAATCCCTATGTTTTTAATCATGATACTTGTCAAAAGCATCAGGATACTTAGGGAGCTACCGTTTGATTTATTTTTAGGGGGGAGGGGGGGCTAGAATGAAAAATGAAAAATTTTGTCCTGCATTTTTTTTAGTTGCAATCTCTGTCCTGCCTTTCTATTTTTCACTCTATTTCGGTCCTGCCTTTTTGTTATTCGTTTATCTTGTGTCTTTTTTTTACATAAATTGTCATCCTGCCTTTTTCACTGAAAACTCCTGTCCTGCCTTTTTTCAAACTTCCATCCTAGACCCCCCCCGCTTAAAACGTTTAAACCCGCTGCACATGATTTGTTTGCACCTGTCCTAAGTCAGGAATCTGATGTTCAGTAGTTGTCGTTTGTTGATGTGGTTCATAAGTGTTTCTCGTTTCTCGATTTTTATATAGATTTATAGACTGTTGGTTTTCCCATTTTTATGGTTTTACACAAGTAATTTTTGAGGCCCTTTATAGCTTGCTGTTCGTTGTGAGCCAAGGCTCCGTGTTGAAGACCGTACTTTGACCTATATTGGTTTACCTTTTACAAATTGTGACTTGGATGGAGAGTTGTCTCATTGGCATTCATACCACATCTTCTTGTATCTATATATTGGCAAATTATAAGATCAAGAAGCATGTTTCTAGGATAAGGGAAAAAAGTTGAAAGTAAGGGGTACTGGAATAAGCAAGTGTAGGAACAAATGAAAAAAATATCTATCTTGAAATAAATCCTCCTTTTCTATACTGGCATTCCAAATGGTCAATCGTCTCCTAATGAAATTAAAAAAACATAATCTTATAGCTTAAAAAAATGGTGTATGCTCCCAAATGCCGCTGACCCCTTGGGGGACACGGGGTTCAAACAACGACCCCCTAAAACCAAAAAAATATAAAGTTGAGATTCCGACAGATTGATGTTTGACTATCAAAGCCATAGCCTAATGTTAAGACAAAAAATGCCAATTTGGGTGATATTCTGGCTACATTGAGACCTTGCACCTTTTTCCACGCAGTAAGCCTGAGCCTACGATCAATATTTACATGTGTATGATAGGTACAGAAGCGTCCAATTTTTTTTGGAAGGGGTGACATTGTAGAAGACCAAAACATTGGCAGAGTTTATGCTAAAAATGATGTATCATAAGTTTCCAATCAAAGGGGGCGTATGCCCTCTACGCCACTGTATTAGGAATTATTTACAAAATCACACACTCATTCGATTTTAGTTGAGACAAAATGAATAAAGATAAAAACAAAGAATAGCAATTATTTTTTTGGGGGTTACGGTCTCATTAACGTATTAACCACATATCTCCTTTTATTCATATTTCTAATAAAACATGAAACTTTAGTATAACAATTGTTTCAGTTTCCGAAAGAGCGTAAAGACAATTGGCGAATGTGCAGAAATTATGAAAGTATTTGCAATTAAAAAGTGCCCGGGCGGATCTAGGGAGGAAGGGGAGTGGAACCCCCCCCTTTTTTTTTACAATCAATGCATTTGAATGGGGACATATGGTTAGAACCCACCCCCTTTTTTTCCATGATTGGGCCTGAACCCCCTATTAAAAATGGCTGGATCCGCCTCTGCTAAATAATTCATAATTAAGAGGGCTCGAGGTCACATGAAACATTTTTTTGCCTTTCAGTCCAGTTCACTTTCATGACCATCCAGTAATTTATACATATAAAGATACTGAACAGAAATTACTGCAAATATTAGACCGTTCAGAAGACCAGTCAGCGTAAACAACATTCACCCCCATCCCCCAGAAATATATCTGATGCATTTATCTGACCACAGAGGTTTTAATAGCATCTGTGAAAAAACAAAGACATCTTTTAAATAGTTTCAATTGTTACCTATGATTATTATATGTCTCTGATAATGTTAATAAATTTGCTGATAATTTCTGAGTGTCCTTAAATTTTTGGTAACTTGTTCCTTTTCAAATTATTATTTACTGTCAAAGAGAATATTGTGTTTGTGTTTTACTTTTCTCTGCATGTAAAAACTTATAGGTAGAGGCTATGTTTCGCTCCCCTGTACCAATTTATCCCTTTGGAAGAAAAAAAGATCCAAGTTGGGATGCTCTCAGACAGTGTTATGCTTCCCACATCAAACAGTGAAACTTCTTTTGTTCTGAGTGTGTAAATATTGTTAAAATGGTAATTAAACCAGTTGCTTAATCATAAGGTCAGGATTGGGTAAGGCTAAGCATGTAAGGGGGTGTTAACTTGTAGTACCTGACTATCACTATCAGAGACATAAAGATACATATATAGGGGGGGGGGGGCATATATTGTATTATACATGTTATATGTGACAGTCTCTTGTAGTTATGGTAGTACATATATTTTCAGTGTTCTGGCCATTCTTTCCCCATTAGTTTACTCCACAAATAAAAGTCTCATTGCCATCTTCTAACTGCTCAATAATTTAAAAGGGGGAAGGCTGAATGAGAAATAAAACAAATTTATATGAATATGAGTATGATTTGTAATCAGTTATAAAAAATATTATTTAAAATTAACTCCCATTGACTCAGCAGTTGCATCTAACCTTGGAAATGATTCTTACCAAACAACAAGATCTAATAAGATTATTTATATATACTAGTATCACAGACCATAGATGTAATGGGTATTACATCTATGCACAGACATACATTGTAATACAGTTGTACATTATACATGTACTTGTATGTCTCTGTAACTATACCTTTTAAGTAAAATAAAATTAATCTTGAGAAACAAGGACAGTTTGAAAAGATAATTTTTTTTAATTGTGGAATAAAAATTGGTAATTTATATGTTTAAAATTTGTGTGAAATTTCTCATGTAAAACAAATGTTTTACTTTTTCACATTGATTTCTTTGATTCATATGAAAATAAGGAGATGTGGTATGATTGCCAATAAGATAACTTCACCTGAAAATTTGCACATGCATTTTTAAAATCCTTGATTCACATGTATGTACATTTAATGTGTAAATTTTAAGTTTAAATAATACATACAATAGCTTTTTAAAGGAGGATGTTGTACTAAAAGGTTTAGCATGAACTGATAATTTTAATCATTATGCAAATATTCATGTTTGCAGTATGCTGTTGTTATTTTTTATCAGCTTATGCACTATTTATAAATATGCTCTTAAAAATGAAAAGCAATGGAAAATAAATTGTGAAAAAAATAACCTAACCAATTTGACGTGAAATTCTCTTGAAGTTAAATGTTTAATTGATGTTAAATAAGTTTTAATTTGAGAAAAAAAGATCAGCAACACAAAAATATATAATGAAAACACACGTAAAACACATGTAAAACATATGTTTTACGTGCGTTTATAAAACATACGTTTTACGTACGTGATGTATTACGCCCGTTTCTAAACAGGCGTTTTACACCCGTTTTGGAACAGGCGTTAAACGCATGTTGGCTAAAACATGCGTATTCCATACGTAAAACGTACGTTTTACAGACGTTATTTAAAACGTACGTAAAACATGTGTTGCACTTTTTGCTGTGTACATGAAATGCAGTTCATTGTCGACTTATGAGTTTGAATATCCTTTTGGTATCATTGGTAAACTTTGGGCTAATGTATCAATAACTTGGAGGTGGTCCTAATTCATAACAGATATGTGCTATGCATCAATGAACTTAAAACGTACTTGGACAAGAGATAAACATTACAGTTTCCAGTAAAGAATTTGACAAGCATTGTTTTGAAAACGAGCTAATTTCATTTTTATAAAATCTATCAATAGATAAGTTTTCCATAACCTCAGAAATTAATCAAAATTTGGAATCTAGATCCTCCTTTTCGGATACTGACTAAAATATTTAGCTTTCTTATTTTTTGGCAACCATTTCTTAATATTCTATCTGATATTACAGTTAAATCAAGTAACGCGCGAGCTTGGGGTTCAAAATGATTAGCCTGGTATCTTTTATAAGTTTTTACACGTCACCACGCCTTTTCAAGTTGAACTATTCATTCCACGTTTATTTGATACCAATCGATAATTTAAATCACTAACATTGTACTGTCAGTGTAAAAGAATATTTCTTTTTTTCATTTGTACACGCCAAGTTTAAATGACCGCTTATTTATTCTATATGAATAGTCTCCCTTTCTTCTATGAAGTGTATAGCTGTAAACAACAACAAACCATACGACTGTCTGGTTTATAGATATCAACTTCACTAGCGATTTATTAAAATACATGAGCTATGGATACTACACTTTTAAAATCATTTGCTGTAACATTGATGTGTTGCATGTATTTGGAGTACGTAAAAAGATACTGGAATGGAAACATTACGGGGCCATTGTTTGACTTGCATGATCGAACAGGTAAGGAAACGACCATTTGATTCTAAAAGGGTGTGTTTATTAGGCCAGCATAATTATTTATGACTGGAAGACGGACATATTATTCATTTTCACTCAGACCACAACCAGAATATTAATTATCTGGTAATGCAAAAAGTGACACAAAAACTGCCCCTCTTTTAAGAATCTTTATACAAATTATCTAAGTTAGAATGATACACATTCCGCTCCAAACAAACAAGAGCATTCGAAATGAAGTCTATGATTTGTATTCTATGTAAACCACATAATTATGGGGCAGGACATTTTTTTTAATCCTGCCCTATTTTTCCAAAAACCGTAACTTTTTATGTTTTCTTTTAAATACAATTATTTTCTCGTTTTTCTGCGTAAGACTACATGAAACAGCATTTGTTTTCTGATAGTTTACTATCCACAGCGTCACTGGTAATATCTAACATGCCTTCGTTAAGGAATACGAAGTTGTTGTAGGGTGCTTTAATTTTATTATTTAGTTCAAAGCGAAACAAAAATAACACCAATTGAAAGTATATCAACTATATATTCACAACACATAGACAATGAAAAGACAATAGTATGCCTCAGAATGTAATAAAAATAAGATAAACAGAACTTTTTTAGGTGTAAAAAGTAGGATTTTTTTTTTATTATTTAATAATATAATTTTATCAATATTATTTTATGGGGGTAACACGGAACAGCCAAAACAGTATCGTGTGTATAGGGCTTTCACGGTTGACAAAATTACCGTATTTGTCCTATAAGAACTGAAATAATTTATGACAGCCGTAGATTTGTTTTTATTTAACCATGGGTTGGGCATTTATATTCGCTATTGCTCGGGATAATAAATGCCCAAACTCATGATTAAATGAAAACAAATCTAAGGCTACCATGAATCATTTCTTAAGTTATAAAACAACAAAGCAACCGTACCATTAGTGTGATAAGACTACAATTTAGCAAACATCTGACTGTGTCATCATGGACTGTGTATATTCATGTTCAATACAGAATGACTAAATCCTGGATCAATAAATCTAGGTCTTACTATGAAGTAATAACAATTTAAAGAGCTTCCTTTTACAAAAAGGAACAATGTGTAATGAAATGATATTGAACAATTTAAAAGCTAACATGCTTCAAATTATGTAGAATACGCAATTTAGCCCTAACAAGTATTTGCAAATACGAATCTTCGTTTAAGACCTATGCAAATATTTTACTAAATAATTAACATGAAATAAGTTACAATATTCAGAAAAAAAGACAGAACTTACAATCAAAGAAAATCAGTACATCAAAATATTCACAATGTTGTAATGTATCAACCATACAAAAGCAAACTGATATAAGTTACACAATTGTCCAATTTATATGGTTAATACTAGTTACAACTAGAGACTTCCATAAAACTACTCAAATTGTCTTGATATTGATATTAGCAAAAAACGGATGTCAAGTTGGTTCAATATTCAACATTCAACATTCAACATTCAAATTTGTTTTTGGATCGTTTTCAACATTCAACATTCGTTTTCAACATTCAACATTCGATTTCAACATTCGATTTAAACATTCAACATTCGATTTCAACATTCAACATTCGTTTTCAACATTCAATATTCGTTTCCAACATTCAACATTCAGTTTTTCAACACTCGATTTCAACATTCAACATTCGTTTTCAACATTCATGATTCAAAAAAATATTTCCAAAATTTTTTTTTTTTTACATTCGATTTAAACATTCGACAGTCGTTTTCAACATTCAATGTCCGTATTCAACATTAAAAAATTTTGTTTTTTCCTTTGTTTTTTTTCATTAATTGTTTTTCTTTTCAACAATCGGTTTCAATTTTCAATAGAAATGATTTTTTATATCTTGTTGCTAGTGATTCGCATACAGACAAGATGATTTAGATTGTTGCTTATTTGTACAAAACGAAGACGAATCCATGTGTAGTCTCTAACTGAAATATGTGTGATTGTTGCTGAGCAATATGTGTGCTGCTGTGCTCAATATGAACTTCATTAAAACAAATAATGGTGCCTTAGTTATCATTATAGAATGAAACCCTTACATGAGAGCAAAATCATCAAACTTTACTAAAGACATAATTCAGGGGGCACAAATAACCTATTTGTTGAACCGTTCATTGTTTGTTTGTAATATTTTGGTGAACTTAATTTAAGTCCCTATTCATTTGTAATAAATTTCTTTTCAAAAGAATAAAGTCATATGAAACGAGTTTCTTGTAATTTTAATTTTATAGAAATTATTGAACCAGTGCATGCATATATACTGAACTAAGTGGTCCCTAGTGTGGACAGTGTATTACTTGCAATAATTTTTCATACTCTTTCCAATTTTATTTCTTCATGTTTTATGCCTCAAATAGCAAGTAGGTGATTTGGTCCAGCGAAAAAAGGTTAAAAATTAATATTTCGGAAGTTGTCAAGAGAATTAAAGATCCCCTTAAAATAAAATTGTCCATATTTTGAGTTAGAGCTGAAGTTTTCTATAATCTTGATATAATTTGTCCCAAAAGTAGTACACCATACTGTACAAATATTATTTAGAAAGCGCAGGTGCGATTGTTTTAATTTTAATTTATTGTCTAAAACAAATGCACTACGAAATAACTGTTTTCTCGGGCCTAAAAGATGAAATCAGTAAATATAGAAGTTGTACTTTGCCAACTTGCCTGAATTATTTAATGGTCTCAATTTGACAAACTGCATGGAAGTAAAAGATTTAAACTTTTATTTGATAGAAATTCTGCAAAAATGTCCCATTTTGGCATTATATGGTCAAAACAAGCATTTCAAAGCCTTTTTTATGCATAAGTGGCATTCTGACTTTCTATCTGAAATGTTTCATGTGTCAATATTTGTGTTTCTAGGCTTTTACCACGAATTTTATGGTAGAACTCGCCAAGGAATATATTTTTAAGGCTGCTTACAATATCATTATTGTTTGACGTAAAGGAGAAGGTCCGGTAAGGGCTAATTTCGGCCTAAAATTCGAAGTACATCTGATGAAAGATTTTTGACATTTTTTAAACACTCAAGTGTCTACTTCATTCGATTCAAATGGTTTTTGTAAAAGATTTAGACTGACTTGGTCATTAAAAACGCTCAAATTCAAGCTTTAATATGAAAAATCTATCAAATATGCCAAGTAACGTCACTTTTCAGATGGTTTATGATTAAAATGGAATTGACCGCATTCGTGTTCACTTTCAACATTTATGTATGTTATGTAGTATCATTAAATAGAACATATATTTAAATATTAAGACTGAACACAAGTGCGGCCACTTCGATTTTAGACAAAAACCGTCTTAAAATTAGCAGAAATGTTAAAATTGTGAAGATATCAGTATTTTTGCATGAAATAATGATGCTAGTACTTGATGCATGTCCATTGTATTATCAAAAACAGCCCATATTTTTGTAACAAAAGCATTCTACTTTCCAATAAATAACTAAGAGTTTATAATTTTACAACTTTGTAAAAACGCTATATTTTGGGGCCAAAAAGGGGTCTTACCGGGCCTACTCCTTTTACATTGATGTTCTACAAAAGGAAATCACGAATTCACCAACATTCCAACTGACTCCATTTTCGGAAAATGACATCTGTAACAAACATAAACTTTTAGCTACCCTTTTACAAGCAGAACCAAATACAATGAAAGTTCCAACTATGTACTGGCTTCCGAAGCTTCATAAAACTCCTTACAAATATAGATTTATTTCGTCTTCAAGCCATTGTTTCACTACAAAACTATCTATTCTACTTACAAGTACACTTGGTACAATCAAAAACCTGGTAATAAATTGTTCAAATAAGGCCTTTGAAAATAGTGGAATTAATTACTTTTGGAGTGTCAAATATTCGTTGGAAGTACTTGATAAATTACATGCTTATATTGGTTATTTCGAATCTGTTCAAAGTTTTGATTTTTCTATCCTATATACCACTTTGCCTCATAATTTTATTAAGAAAAAATTCACACACCTGATTAAATGGGCATTTAAAAAGTCGGAATGCGAATATATATGTTCAAACTCTTTTAGGTAATTTTTTAGTAACAACAAACAAAAGAACTATGTCAATTGGAACTGCTTTGATACTATAACTGCCCTTGAATTTTTACTAGATAACATTTTTGTTCGCTATGGAGATTCCGTATATCGTCAGGTTATCTGAATGCCCATGGGGACTAACTGTGCACCACTTATTGCGGACCTGTTTCTGTATTGTTATGAGTTACTATTTATGACTAAAATCAACAAAGACCGATCGAAACAATACCTGATTCAAAAATTTAATAACACTTTTAGATATTTAGATGATATATTGGCTCTCAATAATGACGACTTCAGTATGTACACTAAAGAGATTTATCCTGCCGAACTGACTTTAAATAAAGCTAATACTAACAATGAACACTGCCCTTTCCTGGATCTTGATATCTTTATCTATCTTTAACGGGAAACTTAATACCAAAATTTATGATAAAAGAGATGATTTTTCATTTCCTATTGTTAATTATTCAGTTTTGGATGGTGACGTTCCCTTGTCGCCATCTTATGGTGTTTATATATCTCAACTTGTTCGATTCGCTCGTGTATGTAACAACGTATTTGATTTCAACGAAAGAAATCTCTGTATTACTGAAAATTTATTACACCAGGGTTTTCGATATCACAAACTAGTCAAAACATTTACTAAATTTTATCATCGGTACAAGGACATCATTCGTAAATATAAATCAACATGCTGACATCACATAAATACGTTCAGGTATTTCACATCCAATATTTTATGGTGATATTCTTTACAAAGCACAAAAATGTCGGCATTCACCTCAAAAGCTAACCAAACCTTTAAACAGACTTATTCGGAAAGGCTATAGTTACGATACTGTTGTCAAGTCATTAAGGATTGCATGTTTTGGTATCAATATTAATTCACTCATAGGGTCTTT